AGCTGTTCTTCCAGGAAAGGAGCCAGTCTTTGCACAGGAGCTAATCATCTTCCTAAGTCCCTACTTCTGGGTATCTGGATGATTTCCAGAGCACTGGGGCAGAATTAGTTCCCCGCAGGGTGGTACCTATGGAGAGGCCGTTGGTGAGCAGTGCGCTGGGCGTAGGGCGGGCCGGGCTGGGGGGCTCCAGGACGCTGTCGTCCAGGAGGTGCCGCGGCTTCTCTGTCGGGAAGGTGGCGCTTTTGCTCTCCACCACGCTGAACTGACACATCATGCTGGAAAACAAGAGAAAAACACAACTCCCCTCTCGTGTCATCTAACAGCAAACCCTGGCTCCTAGTATTTGCGCTCAGACTTTGCCTTATCAATAGCCTACTGAGAAGCAGGCAATGAAACGGTCCTGCTCACACTCTCCCTCTGCTGTACTTTGCTCTTTGACTACCAAACCAAGTTTCCGATTTCAGCGGTCTCTGTACATAACAATTATTAGATTTCTGCAGACGGGAAGTTTTAAGTCTCCGTACAAAACCTGAACACCCTGGGTGGAGGCAAAGGTACAAAACCAGAAAAAGCAGACCCCAGCTAAGCCACTGCTTAGTGGTCCTTCCCTAAGGTGAGCTAACACATCGATGCTCCATGACCTTGGCCAAGTCACATGAGCTTCTTCTTCCCTGAGCCACTAATTGGTAGCTGCCAAAACCTTAACTGGGGAGCAGGTACTCTCACTTAGCTGGGTGAATGGTAAAGAAGAATGTTTCTAATCCATATTACCCAGGTAAAACACTGCAAAAGGTCACAACTTTCCTGAATGATAAGGAAGCTAGTAAGTTTCCTTAGATGTATTAGCAAGATGTTTAAAAAACAAAACAAAACAAAAAAATCAGTTATGCACACCAGGAATCCACAGACTGAAGTGGTTACACAGCTTTCAAGTACTGCCAGCATGGGGCACTTAGCAGAGAGCAGTGTCAGCAAAAATAACAGAGTGTCAAGAGAAAACCTACAGAATACCCAGCGAGGCCTGAAACACTCTTGCAATACAAGAAATGGAAGGGACAAATACCAGAGTGTTCTCAAATACCCGGGTGTTCTGCTGCTATCTTAAACCTCTGTGCTGCACGAAATTGCCTGAGCGTGAGGCAGCCTGAAGTACCCACTTGTTTCCCAGGCTGTGACTCTTCCTGTGCCTCGGGACAGGAGGCGTAGGTAGACTGGCTGCTACTGAAGCATCAGGACACGTGGGTCTCTTGCTGAATTTCATAACTGCTGACACGTCAGATGGACCTAAAAGACAGAGATAATTTAGCATTCAACTGATGCAAAACCCAGAAATTTCATGGGCTGGTTTGTTTATCCACTGAGTAAGACGAATTGTTACAGATAACCAAAAGGCACCGTTTCTGGAGAACCGTTTCTTGTGCATTAGGGTTATATCATGCATTTCTGTTATGAATTCATCTCTATGTTCTTGAAGGGTCTGGAAGTAATTTTTAAAACAGCTTTGCACACGCTTTTAACAATGAACTCCTACAAAGAGTCTTGGCACCCATACGACAGCTGGATATGCTGAACTGTAATATGCAGAGCCGT